GGAAAGTGATATACTATATATAAAATAGTTTCAGAAGGTGAACAAACGGCTGGAAAGTGACATACTAGATATAAAATAGTTTCAGAAGGTGAACTAAGGGATGGAAAGTGATGTACTAGATATAAAACAGTTTCAGAAGGTGAACAAATGGCTGGAAAGTGATGTACTAGATATAAAATGGTTTCAGAAGGTGAACTAAGGGATGGAAAGTGATGTACTAGATATAAAATAGTTTCAGAAGGTGAACAAACGGCTGGAAAGTGATGAAATAATTTTATCGTGTATCATATAATGAAGTATATAACTTTGTTGTTTATTATATAAGGAATTAAAACATTTTGTTGTTTATCATACAATGAATTAAACATTTCTTGTTAGAAAGAAATTCATCAATAAAGTTAATAACCTTCTTTTTTTTTCTGCTGGTAAAAAAAAAATGCTGCTTGCCCCTTTGTAGTAAAAAAAAAAGATACTTCCACTCCATGACAAATTTATGAAACTAAACACTAACACGTGCATACACAGATTTTGTAAAAGCGAATGCACTTTCTGAATTTTTATATCTAACTTGTTTTTTTTTTCGGTATTGAATGATGGTCTAGTTTTAGAGAGGCCCGGCATGGCCAGGTGGTTAGGGCGCTCGACTCGCAATCTGAGGGTCGCGGGTTCGAATCCCCGTCACACCAAACATGCTTGTCCTTTCAGCCGTGGAGGCGTTATAATGTGACGGTCAATCTCACTATTCGTTTGGTAAAAGAGTAGCCCAAGAGTTGGCGGTGGGTGGTGATGACTTCCCTCTAGACTTACACTGTTAAATTAGGGATGGCTAGCGCAGATAGCCCTCGTGTAGCTTTGCGCGAAATTCAAAAACAAACATACAAGTTTTAGAGAGACACTACGTTTGTGCATGGTAATTAAAAAAACAAAAAACCTATAGATATTGATGATATACCCTTAGAAAAGAAAAAAGTACATTTTTCATGCATTTTGTATAAATCTAGATGCCGAGCTAGAAATTCACAGATATAACCAGAGGGTAGTCGGGATATGTTACTTGGTCTGGGACAGTCATTACTAGCGCTGGATCACGAAGGTTTATTTTGACTCATTTCAGCTATTTTTATGGGAATGTATTATTATGCTATAAATCTTGTAATGCGGCAAGTATATATATATATCTATGTATGTATATTTTTGCGAAAATTTGAACATACCTAACAGCGCCCAGTCGGGGGATTCGACCAACTTGGGCCTCCCTATTCCAAATATCTAGTTATGCCACTGTAGAAGTTCAACTGCAAAAACGAACTCTGACGCAATTTTGAAATATCTTATTTCCCGTTAGAGAAGAAATAAGTGGCTTCACATTTTTTTTCGTTACTTCGTGAAATAGGCTTATTATCTTTTTCTCTTACACTTGTAAAAAAATATGTGTACATTAATGCACGTCATTTACAGATATAGAAAAAACTGTTTCTTGTGCTTTTGCTGTTCACGTAGTACATATTCGTTACGTTCAACTTGTAGTAAGATAGTAGTAATGACCAGCATCTCTTGGGATAAACGACCAGGTTAGATAATTTGTGAACAAGGGGAGGTCACCTAGTCACCAGCACTTGCCCCATAATATGTGACTTCTCTTGACTGAATAATAAGATTGTCTATCACGGCTATAACGCCACAAAAGTTCATAATTCAGAGCGTATTCAACAGCATACCACGTCTCGAACCTTGGACTTTCTGATACGCAGCCCGACAACACGCTAACAAGTAGGTCACGCCTGGCCTTTACCAAGCGAAAATTAATAACAGGAACAAAATCCGTTTCACATACAACTTTTTTTTTGTTCTGAGATGCCCAATTTTCACAGTTCAAACAATAATTGTAATGTTTACACCACAGAAATGCTGCTTATGGTAAGAATCAGTGTGTGGTATCATTATGATATTATATTTTACTGAATAAGTCTACTGTTTTGCACTATAATCTTAAATATATTTCATTTTTGCTCTGCTTGTTTGTTTGTTGTTAATCGCAAAGCCACACAATAGGCTATCTGTGCCCTGCTCACCACGGGCATCGAAACCCAATTTTTAGTATTATAAACCCTAGAACTTACCGCTGAGCCATCAAGAAACCCACGTTCTTTGTAGAGGAATAATAGTTAGTTAGTTTGAATCCCCGTGATGGATGGATCAAAAACGAACCATACTTAACTATGGGCTAAAACAACAACTATTACTGATGGTCTCAAAGGGATTTCAAAACTTTTTGTCGTTCTATTAATTTTGTATCAATGTTTTACATATAGAGGTTTTTTATTGTTTTTTTTTCAGAATATCAGTTTGTTTGTTTATTTTGAATTTCGCGCAAAGCTACACGAGGGCTATCTGCGCTAGCCGTCCCTAATTTAGCAGTGTAAGACTAGAGGGAAGGCAGCTAGTCATCACCACCCACCGCCAACTATTGGGCTACTCTTTTACCAACGAATAGTGGGATTGACTGTCACATTATAACGCCCCCACGGCTGAAAGGGAGAGCATGTTTAGTGGGACGGGGATTCGAACCCGCGACCCTCAGATTACGAGTCGAGCGCCCTAACCACCTGGCCATGCCGGGCCATATTAGTTAGTATTTTTAGGTTATGGATATGTGTAGAATAACACGAAGTTTGGCTGAACCAGTAAGAGTAACACAAAACACAGAACAGCATAAGTACCGTGAAGTAAAGCACTGGCGACAAAATCTCAATCTGTAACCCAATTCATTAAAATTTTATTTACAAAATTGCTGATAAATTGGTCACCACTAAACATTTTGGTTCAGGAAAGAGGTGCCTCCCCGGAGAGTTCGGAGATGGGCTTTCTCTCTTCAGGAACTGCTTAAAGACCCAGCTGGTAGGGAGCAGTTTATCCGTTTCCTGGAAAAAGAATTTAGCGCCGAAAACCTCAAGTAAGTTTCAATTTCTTGAAAACTCAAAACTTGGTAAAAGTGGTGTAAACCTGAATCCACCGAAGGAAGAAATATTTTAGTTGTCAAAAAACTTTGCAAAACATGTATTTGCCATCTCAAATATGCTATTTTATATTTAGTACATCACTTTCCAGCCGTTTGTTCACCTTCTGAAACTATTTTATATCTAGTACATCACTTTCCATCCCTTAGTTCACCTTCTGAAACTATTTTATATCTAGTACATCACTTTCCAGCCGTTTGTTCACCTTCTGAAACTATTTTATATCTAGTAAATTCACTGTATGATAAACAACAAAATGATTTTAATTCATTACATGATAAACGACAAAATTATCTAATTCATTATATGATAAACAACAAAATGAGTTAATTCATTATATGATAAACGACAAAATTATTTAATTCGTTATACACCCCCAGTGGCACAGCGGTATGTCTGCGGACTTATAACGCTACAAACCGGGTTTCGATACTCGTGGTGGGCAGAGCACAGATAGCTCTTGTGTAGCTTTGTGCATAATTAAAAACAAACAATTCCTTATACAATAAACAACAAAGTTATA